GGGGCTGAATAATTTTGCACGCCCAATTTTTCAGTTTTTTATTTGTTAAAAACGTTTGAAATATCCAATAAATTTCGTTCCACTTCATGATCGTGTCCCACTTGTTGTTGATTCTTCACAAAAAATTACAGTTTTATATCTTTATGTTTGAAGCCTGAAATGTGGCAAAAGGTCGCAAAGTTCAAGGGGGCCGAATACTTTCGCAAGGCACTGTAATCATACATCACTGCTCCACTATCATACTGAGTCACTGCTCCATGATCTTGTCCACCCAGGTGGGTGAAGAATTTGGCTTTACGCCACTGCACCCGTGCAACCTCAGAGGATGTGATTCCTCGCTGGGAACAGGACTACCAGCTCCAGCCCATTTCAAAACTAGGGCTGTTCTATGAATATCTTGAGATGGGTAAGAGGAGCAAAGTCTTCTTCAGCCTTTTTGTCTGCCACATTTCCAGCTGCACAAGCTGTTCTCAGTCTCATAGAGTTTTACAAGATAGTTTTTGACTGGTTGTTGTGATAATTACTGGACATGAAACCCCAACTTGTATTATGCATATCTGTTTGTCTATTGATTAAATAAATGAGATATAATTTTTTAAGTTTTAGGCTTTATATTGTAGGTGTTGAAAGGTGGCTTTTTTTTTTTAAACGTAGACAGACCCATTCTACTGTAGCTGTTTCCCCATTTTCAGTCTTAGTGCTACACTAGGATGACCAGTTGCTGGCTCCAGTCTGTATTTAATGCACAGACATCATAGTGGTGTTGAGCTTTGCAGCTAAAAGACATTGTTTATGTTCTGTATCTTGATCACATGGGGGTGGCGTGAGCCATTGAGATGCCTTATATAACTCTTGGTTTTGGTGTGATGTTATGAGCTTACAACATGGAGCCCTTGGTGCTAGGCATTATTTTAACCCGGAAGAGCAGCAGAAGAGTAAATGAGAGACACCATTTTCAAATCTTGCGGCAATTAAATAGCAATCGGCCCTGGGCTGAAGCAAAGCCGGCTGAGTCCAAGTCAGCACAATCCCCTCTTGCTGCTGGAAACAGATGGAAATGGAGGCCAACCCATGCCTGCCAGGCTCCATACTATAAAAGCAGGCTGACCTGTGCTGGTGGAAAAACACCAAATGTGTTCGACCACATTATTAATGTCTACATGATTATTAATTCTGAGACACATATTTCCATGTAGATATAAATATAGATTTAGGTTTGAAATGATTGGCTTGTACATCACTGAGGTCTTTAGTGGATAAAATGTTGTTCAGGTTTTTAATGGTGCAACATAATTTAGTAAACTAGTAGCTACTGAGTACCTAAGAACGTATGAGGGAATTTCCACCCAATAAGTAGCCAATATGCAAATACCTGGTACAACTGAATCCTGGGTAGCCTTTATTTATATGTGTGTGTCTTGTCTCTCACAGTCATCCAGTTTGGCTTTGTGACCTTGTTTGTGGCCTCCTTCCCTCTTGCCCCAGTCCTGGCTCTGATCAACAATGTGATTGAGATTAGGCTTGATGCTTGGAAAATGCTCACTCAGTTTCGTCGCTTTACACCAGAGAAGGCCCAGGATATAGGGGCCTGGCAGCCCATTCTTCAGGCCATCACCATCATGGCTGTTGCAACAAATGTAAGCTACTGTTCACATTGAGATAGTAGTTTATTAGGTACAGTTGCAGTAACATCTTCTACTTGGAGTACATTCACTTGGTGTCCTTGTGTTTCAACAGGCCATGATCATTGCTTTTACATCAGACATGATTCCACGGTTGGTCTACTACTGGTCTTTCTCTGTGTACCCATATGGAGAAAACACTAATCACACCATGCAGGGCTACATCAACAGCTCCCTGTCTATCTTCAACACCAGCGATTTCTCTGATGATAGCAAACCCCTTGAAAGTTACAACATCACCACCTGCAGGTACAAAGACAGGCCTGTCAGTGTGTGCTGTATTTAATTTTTCCTTGTTGGATTGCAAAGAGAGTACCATGCCTGAGTTTTCACATTGACTATCATCCATTTGAAAAATGTTTTTGTGTGTGTGTGTGTGTTCTCAAAATAATTGCTTACATAACAATTAAAACTGTGAAAGTGTGACAAAACACAACTTTCTCATATGCAGACACAAAATAAAATAATACAGCAAGTTGAATACATGACTGGTGTCAGGAATAGTTGGTAACATGACAAAAATATTAAAAACTCTTCTTTTTTAGGTATCGGGATTTTCGATATCCTCCGGGGGACCCAAGGCAGTATGAGTACAATACCTACTACTGGCATGTGAATGCTGCCAAAATGGCTTTCATAATTGTTGTTGAGGTGGGTATAAATATAACAGGAAATCTCCCTGACATGTATAATTAAAACATCCATTTGTATATTTTAATGTCTTCTTCTTTTTCTCCTCACAGCACATTGTTTACTTTACCAAGTTTGTCCTGTCTTACATAATCCCTGACGTCCCATACACTGTCAAAGAACAGATAAAACGAGAGAAATACTTGACCCAAGTTATCCTCCATGAGACCAACCTCAAGCTGGTGACCAAACGCATGAAACCGATCGATGATGACGTTAGCGATCACACAGAGGACAACACGTCAAAGCAAGAATTTGAGTTCGGTTTCTGACATGGCAACCCACATCTGTTTAGATACTGACCAACACATTGTGAACCAGTCAAAAAAATAAGACCTGAAACAAGGTATGGACTTCTGTTATGGAAACTGTGTAACAAACAGTAAGAAAAAAGAGGTTTGAGATTTCTTAAGAGAAAGACAGGAGAAATCACTGTCATCCACTCTTCACCCTTCCTAACCACTATCCTCACACTCTGGACTTCCTATATTGTGTTTGACTCATGTCAGGCCAGTGACAGCTGACAGTGCCACTGCAGAAACCTGGGGTGAGGCAACCAACCTATTGATATAGCAGTCTTTTGCACACCTTTATCAATATGTTTGGGCTCGGAATCTGATAATTTATCAAATTTGAATCCAGTATTGAAACTTAAGTTGTAGCTGTTGATCATTTAAAGAACTTGTCAGTTTGCATTTAGACTCTAAAACTCAAACAATGACATTAAGAGAAATTAGACTTTAGCAAGTAGATTACATATTTACCTAAATGCTTGTTTGGGTGTTTTATGTATTGATTTTTGCAACCTGATGTGGATGTTAAAGCGTAAGGAAACTGGGATGTGAAATCAGCACCTTATACTGTGAGACTTAATTCTTACTAGACACGTCTTTCTGGATGTTTCAACTATGTCACATGGTCTTGATTAGCAGGTGGATATTTGTTCAGTTGTCATAGATAAAGATCAGTTAGCATGTGAACTCAGTAGCTGATAAGATTTCATCCATAGTGTCTGTAGGACTTCTCAATCATGTTAGCTTAAAAGTTATAGTATGTTGAATGCTCAGGAAAAAGCTATTAAGTAGATCTTGAGTTTCTTTTTTTGGGGTCAAAAACGTTCTATTTTAATTTAGCTGCATCACCCTGCAGCACTGGGACTGTTAGTGTCCTACTCCATCCACTGAGCTACATGCCGGGGAGCTCGAAATTTTCACATCCATTATGGTATTATTAGTAGTATTATAGTTTAATCATTACACCAAATGCTGCTCAGTTCAGTAATGAAAATTATTAATCATGGCGGCATGGGGTGGTATAATTGATGTGAGTGTAGTCTGTCTCTTTATGCATGTACTCACATCTACTGTTTTGTCCTGTGCTGTGACATTTTGACTGTTACATCCTGTGATATATGCAGTACAGTAGTTTAAGCTTCTTCTGTGTAATTGCTGACACGACCTTTACCTTTGCTATATTTTTATCTTGCATTGCTCTTGTATGAAAAAATATCATATGCCACAATATCTGGTTGTGTTGTCTTTGTATTTTATGTAGTGCCATTAAATAGGGTTTATAAAACATTTTTCCCTCATGTTTAAATAAACTACCATTGTGTGTTTTATTAAATGTGAGCTCTGCCTTTTGCCTCTGATGTTGTCAGTAGAATGCTTTGTTGCACCAGTAATAAAACTCAACAATGATGTTACAGTGTACTGACAGTGCCTCCATTATGCTCCTACATCAGTGTCAGGTGCTGGTGAATTCCAGCTGCTGCTTAGTTTCTATTTTTACTGGTGGTGATTATGAGTCTGACTGGAGCTTGAAATATTCTGTATTAGCTTTTCTTTTCTTGTTTCAGCCACTTTTTTATAGGTCAAATTAAGCTAAGAGCAACTATAGTGCAATATTACCGAACCCCATTAAAAGCAGGGTAATGCTGTAAAACACACTTTACTGCTGTCTGTGCCACTGTTGTTTCTCTGTAGTCCATATGGAGAGAACATCAGTGGAATCAGACCACATAACAGAGTACGTTAACTTCTGCTTGGAAAACATCCTGCCCCTCAGACTCTATGCTGTTGCATAAGTACTTTAACTTCGGCTTGGAAAACATTCTGCCCCTCAGACTCTATGCTGTTGCATAGGTGCTTAAAGACATGAAAGCTATGCTGAACCATAGAAACAGAGCCTTCAAGAGGAAGGAAACAAGGACAAGAAGCGGAAGAAACTCCAACTGAACAACTCAAGGACTGTGTGGAATGGTATCACAGTTAATAACAACTATGTGATTGAAAGGGACTTGAAGAGAGTTAGCAAGCTATACTGGTTCTTTAATAGTAGTAGATGATAAGTAGACTGCTGCTTACTTGTGCAAGTTCATCCACCAATGCCTCCCTCCTAGAGCACTACTAAACTCTGCATCAAACTAATCATTCCTTTGAGATACATAAAGTTTGATCTCATTTGGCTCATTTTAGGTCAATGTGTGTGCTTTAAAGGAACAGGAGCACATGTTTTTCCTTTTCTTTTCCTTAGAAAATGTGAAAGACTGTTTAATATACATAGTGTTATGTAGCCACACCTGTGCTAAAAAGGGTGGGAAATACAATCATTTTAGTGTTGATGGTGATGATCTTAGAAATACAAATCTTAATCATATGGCCAAATTGTGTAGGCAGGAAATCACACATCAGCCATCATTTCACTGAGCACCAGTTGTCCATAAACGTGTCCTCAGTCCCTTATTATACACCCTGATGATGCATGACTGTTGTGCACCATTTGCTACAAACCATATAATAAGGTATGCAGATGACATGACAGTGGTGGGTCTCATTCAGGATGGTGAGGAAAAGGCATACAGAGAGGAGGTGAAACTTTTTGAAAAATGGTGTAGTAATAACAATCTGGTCCTGAATGTTGAAAAAACCAAAGAGATGGTAAATGACTTCAGGAGAAAACAACCCACACCCCAATATACATCAATGGCACAGTTGTGGAGAGACAAGCAAAGTTCCCGGGAGTCCAGGTTGCTGACAACCAAACCTTGTCCCTGCACACCTCATGTCTTCCCAAAAAAGCTCACTAGTGTCTGCATTTTTTGCAGCAGCTGAAGGGGGCACATTTCAGCCCATCTGTCCTCACCACTTTCTATAGAGGCACTATAGAGAGTGTTCTGATCAGTGGCACCTCTCTGGTATGAGAATTGCAATGTCTCAGATAGGAAAACTCTGAGTGGTGAGGGCAGCTTAAAGACCTATTGGTGTAACATTGCCATCTACTGAAGACCTGTTCCAACAACACTGCCTGTCAAGAGCCACCAACATCATCAGTGACCCCACCCAGCGCTGCAACCACTTGTTTTCACTCCTGTCCTCAGGCAGGAGATACTGCAGCCTGTGAAGTTGTACTGTCAGGTTCAACAAGAGCTTCTACTCCACTGCTGTCAAACTGATAAATGATATAATCTGCCCTCAATCATAGACTCATGTGCAATACACATACAGACTAATTGAATAATTATGCAATTTTTAAGGACTATGTGTCAGGTTATTTATTGTTCTTTCATATTTAAAATATATAATTGTTCATTTTAACTATCTTGAATTGTCAATTTCAGTTTTTTTTTTTTTTATTTTCTTAAGAAAAGGCAATACAACATTTTCTTGGGAATTCTTTTTTAAACACTAAGTTTCTTAACAGAAATTGCTGATGTTCCCCTAAGCAAGAAAATTCTCATGCTGAAGGTGCTTAATGTTGTGCGTTTTTCAGGTCTTGCTAATGCAAAGAAAACCTTATAGAATATTTGGAAATATCTAGCATTAAAGCGATGCTGTATATTAGAAGACAGCGGTTGGTTAGGTGGCTTTATTTCCCCAGTGTATTTTTGTTCAGGCATCTTTTCAATGCTCTATGGACGTCATCTAGATGCGACACAGGGCCCGTTTTCACTCACATGTTTGCATTCCTAAGGTGAAGAAATTTAGGCAAGTAATTGTAGATTTGATAGTGTTTGATCGATAATCCACAGTGGTTGTCCAGAATGAGCTCTCAGATCACGTGTGTTGGATGGGTCAGGCGAGGCGTTGCTAAGGAAACTCCAGACAAGGTAAGTAACATGTTAAGTTAGCTTACGCTAGCTAACCGGCGGCTAATTTGTCAACATGGGAGGTGCCACATGTTGTTTAACTGTTTTAAATCGCCATATTCCAATCATATTTGGTGTGATTTAAATTTTTGGTGACTTTTAAGATAGTGTTTCACTGTCAACACAAGTTGTATAAAAAGTATGTGACGCATTTTGTGTAGTAACAGAAGCTAACGTCATTTAGCTGATATAGCTTAGCTATAGTAAATGTCAGACCTTGTATGAGTTGCACCTTTTTGTGGAACAATGTGAAAAAGTGACGAGAAAATGCTGTAACGTTACTTTTTTTTTTATAGAATGTGCCGCAAATAACACACAGTGTTATATCTGATGCTAGTATTGTAATGATGTCTTGAAACATGTAATTAACACCTGTGGGAAAAGTGCAACGTAGGCTAACGTTAGGATGAGGATAAGGATAATGACCTTTATTTGGCCAAGTATGTTACACACACACAGGGAATTTGTTTCCGGTACAAAATCGAGGCAGCCGTTTTGCGGCGCTAACTCAACCAATGGCTCTAACCATCGGGGGCAACTTGGGGGTTCAGTGTCTTGCCCAAGGACACTTCGACATGTGGACTGCAGGCACCGAGATTCGAACCTCCGACCCTCCGGTTGGGAGACGACTGCTCTACCCACTGAACCACAGTCGCCCCCGCCCCGTTATATTAATAATTTCTTTGAGAAAAAAATAATAATTTGACATTTCTCGGAGAGCTGACACTTTTCCAGTTACTTTTAAGTGTATACGTGTCTCACTAAAGGCGAAATCGCTGTATTTAAGGCCCTGCTAACTGACGAGCTTTCAGGTCCCCTCGCAGTCATTTTTGGTGCTTTATTACAGGCAGGTGCGCTGGAATGGTCAACAACTGTCTTGTAAATGTTATGTTAAACAGGTAGCCTACCTTCTTACTAGATCTCTTGATAAAAGAAAAGCCAAACTGTTCTTTGTTCACTTTTCTTATGCTTTTTGTTTCAGTTACTGTGTATTTAGTGATGTAACCAGTAAGATAATATATGGTAGTTTAATACTCCATCTCACTTCTTTTTTTGAGACACAGGAGCTTATCAGCTTGTTTGAGACACTTTTTTTACATTCCACTTCAGGTTGAGTTGAGCCAAGAGGAGCTTCAGCGCATCATTACTGAAGCAAAAGAAGAACTGGGGTATGTTAGGATAAAATGCACACATCACTAAGTCTGTGCCTCAGTTTTATTTTTTATTGTCAATGCATACACATTTCACAAGTTAAACACTGCAAATAAACATGCAATTTGAGCTGCAACAATTAGTCAATTTACCAATTAGTCATTTAATGCAAAACTAATTAGCACCTAGTTTCATAATTAAATAATTCTTTAGTTTTTTTTTTTTTTTTGATTGAATTAATGCTTTTCTTTGTCACATACAAACATCTGGGGTTTTGGACTGTTGGTCAGACAAAAAGAACCTTGGAGTCTAGGAAATTTCAGCGGGTATTCTTTTGTTTTCTCTGACATGTAATGCAGGCCCATTGAATTAAATAAAAACAATCAGCTGATTTATTGGCAATGCAACTAATCATCAGTTCCAGCCCTACATGAAATATGTTAAACAGCTGAAGCTGATGATGTGTATTCTGTTCAATCAGGGAACTAGCAGCTGATGATGAAGAAGAGGATGATGAGGCTCCTGATCAGAATCCTAATAATGTTACAGCTGATGTTCCTGAAGGTCCAACAGATGAGGGTGAAAAGGGACAGGAGGAGGAGGAGGAGGATGAGCTAGCAGAATACGGACTGGATAAATATGATGAAGAGGATACAGGTGAGTTTGTCTACAATATGAGTATTCTTTGTTGTCCAAACTACTGTATGTAACTGAGTTCACTATGTCTCACCAGTTCACTTGTGTATATTTTAACTTCCCTGTGTCTGTTTATCTATCTTCACTTAAGTGACCACTAATCTTGGTGACAGTCTGGCGGGACTCACAGTGTTCAGCTCTAACGAGGAGGATCCTTACGTCACTCTCAAAGATACAGTAAGTTCTCAGTGATTAGGCATGTACAGGTTTAGTATGGTTTCCCTTCATGTAGTGCTTGAAGCTTCTGTTGCAGAAGATTCTGTTAAACTTGTTGAAGAGTCACTCAAATTATTCTTAGATGGCAATGTCATTGAATTTGAGGAGAAAAGTGTACTGGAATAATCTGAAATGTTGAGCAAAAACGAGTTGGACTAAAGTCCAAACCAGTTGTAAAACGAATTTGTGTAAATGTAAACAGGATTTATCTTGATCAGTGCTGTTCTTTTTTTATTTCCCTCTAGGACCATTATGAAAGAGAAGACTTCCAAATCAAGCCCAGTGACAATCTCATCCTGGCAGGGAGGGCAGATAAGGACTGCTGCAACTTGGAGATCTTTAGTAAATATCTACATATTACATGATAAGATGATGATGAATATATGAGCTAAATGTGTATCTATATCTAGAGTTAAAATGACTGAGTCCCCTCCCCAAACATTTATCACAAGTTCTTTAATCTATGTTTAATAAACATTTCTTACATTACAGTTTATAACTCAGAGGAAGACTCTCTATATGTTCATCATGACATTCTGCTGCCAGCTTACCCACTGTGTGTGGAGTGGCTGAACTTTGACCCGAGTCCCGGAGAAGGACCTGGTAAGAAACAAACCTTTGGAAAAACAAAAAACAAATCCCGTTCTTTTCCAAACCAGGCCTCAAGCTGTATAAACCTCTGACATCAGTCAGTTAAGCCTGATGATCACTTGACATATCTCAGCATTATATTTAATCTGAAGTTGAAACAAAACTAAGAAGTATCTTCATGTATTTGATCTATTTACTTTGCACATGCCACTGTACTTGTCTGACCTTGCTCTGCTCTGCATATCCTTACTGCAGCCAGCTACGTTGCTGTGGGCAACATGACCCCTCAGATTGATGTGTGGGACCTGGATGTGGTGGACTGTTTAGAGCCCGTCTTCTCTCTGGGCAGTAAAAAAGCTTCCAAGAAGAAAAAGAAAAGCAAGAAGGTACAAGCATCTCTGTAATGATAGTGGGGCCTGGTAAAGTTCATTTAAGCGTGTTTTGCTGTTTTTGTATTCAAAATTATTATAAAAATTGTTGGATTTGTTCACTTATGAAATAAATGTTAACATTTTCATCACCATTTTTAATAGACTTTTTTTTTGCATTATTTCCTGCTCTGTTAGAGCTCATTAACCCATGACTGACTGTTCTTGTTGGCGTCAGGGGGCAGCAGCAGAGCCTGTCGAGGGGCATACTGATGCAGTGCTGGATTTATCCTGGAACAAACTGGTCAGGTCAGTGTTCTGATGCCTGGGGAGGAGTGAGTACTAGAAAAAAAAAAGTCTGTACATATTTAAATTAACTTTTTTCTTTTTATTAATTGTTGTCCTAAGGTCTTGTTTACAGAACTGTGAACATGTTTTCTTATGCAACTCAAATTCAGAGTGTTTTGTAATAGTACAAAAAAAAAAGTCCACTTTCTTCTTTTCTACTTAGGAATGTGTTGGCCAGTGGATCAGCAGATAACACAGTCAACTTGTGGGATCTGTCTCAAGGCAAACCAGCTACAACTCTGTGCAGGCACACTGATAAGGTATTCAGTGAATAAAAAGATAATGCTAAATGTAATTCACAATGTATATTGGATATCATATCCTCAGAATTTGCAGGTGTTTGCTTCTAGAAAACAAAATATTTTTGAAATTTTTCAGGTTCAGACATTATCATTCCACCCGTTTGAGGCACAGACTCTTATATCAGGATCATATGACAAGTAAGTGTCTGTTAAAATTATTAGTTTATAGGAAGAGGTGAAAGGAGATGAACAGCATTTTCACAGTGGGTTTGAGACTAACATTTTGTTCTTTTCAGGACAGCTAACTTGTATGACTGCCGTAGTCCAGACAACAACTATCGGACCTGGAGGTTTAGTGGTCAAGTGGAGCGTCTGGCCTGGAACCACTTTTCACCCTGCAACTACTACACAAGAATCAAAATATTGCTGTTTTTAATCTCATATTTCTTTATAAATAACAGAGGAATGACTGATGTGTGCTAGGGAATATTTTATAATGTAATCACAACAGATTTCATGATATTTAATTGAGATTATTGAGATTCATACAGAGCAGCGGTGACATCTTCAACTACAAGTCAAATAACACATGGGCTCTGCATACTGACAAATGAGAAATAATTTGTGAAGGGGTATGTTTTAAAGAGTCTACTGCTTTTGAACTCAAGACTAATTTAAAGATGTTGGCAGTTTATCTTGACCTTAGCATTTCTACTTGAGTTTGTTTCCACCTTCTCCCCGACACACACTGTTGACAGAAAACAAATCAGCTGCATCACATATATGTGTCTAAATACTGGTACAGTCTACCAGTGTCCTTGTGTATAATTATCCTCCCTGCATTACTTCCAGTTTGTAGAACATGATCTTTTCTGCAGACCACATATTGCTCTGCAGTGGTTTTATTTATCCTTAGTGCTTGTTAGAGGAGGAGTAATAATCATACATAAATGTAATCTCCCAGTAAGGTCTCTGACATTCCTTTTAAAACCATGTTATTATGGTTGTAAATAGCAGTTGTGCAAAGATGGCAATTATGACTCTAATTGGTGTATTTAATTTCCCTGTGGTTATTGTGACACAGATCTTATTTATCCTTTTTCACACCAGCTCAGTGGTTAACTTGAGTATGTGTTTGTGTTTCAGGCCAGCACAGAGGATGGTTTTGTCTACTGTTTGGATGCACGCTCAGATAAACCTGTTTTCACACTGAGGGCACATGATGAAGAAGTTTCAGGTAGGTAGAAGGGTGTGTGACTACATGTCTTGCTATACTGGTGTGGGCACATTTATTGCAGTTCCCTTGTTGTGAGAATATTTTGGCCAATCCACATGACTTTAAAGGACTGTTTGAGGGTAAAGACTTGGTTTTAGGGTTAATGTTAGAATTAGGTTTAGGTTAGGTTTGGGAATTCATTTGTCATGATTACAGTTAGGGTATGGGGCAAGGGCATGCATTATGTCAGTGAGTGTCCAGACAGCTATAGTAAGACCTCTGTGTGTCGGTGTGTGTGTGTGTGTGTGTGTGTGGCTGTTTAAAAAAAAAAAAAAAAGTTCATTGTCAAAACGGTGTTCAGATTTCCAGTTTCTCCATTTGCAGGCCTTTCATTAATGCAGTGTATGCAATAAATTAAATATCACAAATGTGAGGCACTGTTTAGCTTCTAAGTCACGAGTCACCTACAACAGAAACGTGCGGTAACTTATGGTTGTCTATGACACCATTTCACTGGCTCAGTAACAGCCAGTCTAGCCAGCTTGGGCCTTTCTTTCTTCTGTTTCCCTCCATGTAATATGCTTGCAGGTGTATGGTGTGTGTTCATCTAGGTGTTTTAGCTCTGACATTGTTGAATCCTATCTCTCTCGGTGTATTAGTGCAGGCTAGCATCCTGTTGTCATGAGTAGGATACGTGTTAAGGAAAAAACTGAATTTCCTTTATAATAATGAACAACCAACAGTGAGTGAGAAATAAAGAGATTTGAGAATGGAGACATCTTCAGGTTTGATTTATTTCTGCAGAAAGGAGTTGTCTACAACAGCACACCAGGATGCATGTTACAGAGACTCAAAGGATAAACAAGAATCACTTCAATATAAGGCAGAAGATAACGTCACACAAAAGGAGGGTTCACTGAGAACAATTATGCTTCTGTGTTCAAAGAGTTTCTAATTGGCAAAACACTGAGAGGTTCACAGGAGATACTTTCAAGGCCTGCGGATGTTACAGTTGCTTCTTCCAGCAAACAAAGATACCTTAGGCATTCAGTGATTCAGCAGAAAACAAAGTTCACTTGTCCAGTGTGTGAAAGGTTACCACCGTTAGTTACCACAGTTGTTAGCAGACTATACTTTAATATGTAAATCAACAATATAAATGGATATACTTAAAAATGCCATTACAATAAGCAGGTACACAAAATTGATGGGGAAGGTGCAGGTGAAATCCTGAATACACCTGCTCTTGTAAAATGTTGAAAAACACCTTTGTGCCATAAATGCATTGGGTGTCTAGGTTTACCTCATAATGGACCCTGTTCATTTGAAAGGCACATTAATGCCACAAAGAAACATTAGATCTAAGTTTACCTAACATGTCTGCAGGTTTGGAGCTTAGCAGTCAAATAAAAGGATGTCTGGTCACCTCATCAACTGACAAACATGTGAAGATATGGGACATTTTGGGCAACAAACCTAGCCTGGTGTACTCGCGGGATATGAAGATGGTAAGAAGTTACATGACATACTCAGCATGTAGCTCTCAGGTTCTTTCACCTGTCACTGAAGGGTTGCACTCTGTTGAGAATTAATTTGCAGTGTTATAGTCATGACATTTCTGGTTGTTAAAGGTGTTGTAACAGTATACTTTGTCACCTGTGAACAGGGTGTTCTGTTCTGTGCTTCATGTTGCCCTGATCTGCCCTTCGTCTATGCATTTGGGGGCCAGAAGGGTGGCTTGCGGGTTTGGGATATAAGTGACACTGCAGCAGGTAAACTGTAATTCTTTCTTTCTTTACATCAGTTGCACACTTTATTTATGCTGTGAAATGAAATCATATTTGAAAGTTAAATAATTTGTCACTTTATTCTTTAGGGAACATGTTTATTCCAATTTAATTTGTTAATTGCAGTGTGGTGACTGAATTTTCCTGTCGGGCATTGACCTTTAATGATGAAGATAGTTGTTAAATTATCATATCACATGTTACTGTGATTGTTTTCTTTTAGTTGCTGAGGTGTTTGGCAGTCGAGAGTGCTTGGTGGTGAATACAGGATCGCAAGCATCCAGTAGTGCAGCCTCAGCAGAGATGGAAGTTTCTTAGTTATTCTCTGGATGCAACAATAATGTCTAAATATGAAAACCTGAGCTTCGCTGGAAACAAGCTGCTCTGCTTGTTCCTGTATCTTATGGTGCAGCGCTTTGTATGATGGAAATAGGACTGGAATTAAGCCGCATACATGTGAGACCTGCCCAGAGTGCAAACTGGGCCTGAAGCACTAAAAAAGTTTGTTCTGTTTCTTATGACAAATACCAACAGATAAAAATATCTTTTATATTCATATTAGTGAATATTTCCTTATTTTTGAGTTATCGGCTAAAGAAGTGAATCAGATATTTGAATTACTACATTGTAATTACTTATGATCCCTTTTGGTTTATCTTTCTTTGTACAGGTACATATTAATAGAAGCCAGTATTTAAAAAAAATCTGTATACAAACAGACTTTTTAATAATGCTATGAATTCAGTAAATAAATACAGTTTATAAAATGTGTAAACCTTTGTTTCCTCTGATTCTCCAGCTCCTACAAAGTCTGTACTGTCTTCTTGCATCATCTTCTTGCACTTTTCTTTTAGTTGCTGAGGTGTTTGGCAGTCGAGAGTGCTTGGTGGTGAATACAGGATTGCAAGCATCCAGTAGTGCAGCCTCAGCAGAGATGGAAGTCTCTTAGTTATTCTCTGGATGCAACAATAATGAGCAGACAAATTCATGAACTTTGCAGCTTCTGATGTGTTGGTAGTTAACATTGTGATTCACTTTGCTGTCTGATTTGTAAAGTTGTCACTACATAAACAGATAAAACTGAACAGAATATTGTCTTCTGGTTTCTCATAGCAGATGTTTTAATCTAGGTTTATCTTTATATCACACAGCAAATACTGTCAAATAATGTTTTTTATTCTGAAAAACAAATGATTAAAAAAACATTATTGAGTGTACCATAGGTCATAAAGGTAATTTTTGCCTTATGAGGACAACAGTTATATCCAAGTATTGGGAATTTATTTTCTCATACAAAACTGTATTTGCATGTAAACACTTTTCTACATTATTTTGGCATAAAAATAAACCTTAAAAAATGTTATTTTGGATTTTCATAAAAATAAATATTAATGCTGATACTGTTGCTGATTTACCTCAAAACTCTGCAATTTCAGATCACTGTGCTGCCAAACTGAAGTCATGATTAATAAAAAGGAAAGGTAAGAAATTCAGTACCTTATTGTAATTTATGTATTTACCTGGTTCAGAAAAGTAGCTAATAAGTAGGTTATAAAATAAATATAGTGGAATAAAATACCATATTTGCCTTTAAAATGTAGTGAAGTATAAGGTAGCACAAAATGAAAACACTCGGGTAAAGCACAGAATCCTTGAAATCGTACTTAAGTACATTGCTTGAGTAAATGTACTTCGTTACTTGTCACCGTTGCTTCCTGTCTTGAACCATGTCACCTGCCTCAACTTTACAATAAAAAAAAAAAGCCATTTCAAATCAGTAAAAGATACAGTGGATTCAGAAAGTTTTCAGACCCCTGGAAGTTCTCTATATTTTGTTGTTTTAGACTAATCTTGAAATTGATTAAATCCCCCCCCCCCAACAGTCTACACACAATACTTTACAGTGACTGAAAGCAATGAAGTGAAAACAGGTTTTTAATAAAATATTCAATTTACGCAAGTATTCAAGCCCTTTGTTATGACATTTGCAAATGAGCTCTGGTGTATCTTATATCAGTGGTCCTTGAGATGGTTTTACAGCTTGATTCAGGGAGGCGACAGTGGTGCGGTGGGTAAAGCAGTCGTTTCCCAACCAGAAGGTTTAAGGTTCGAATCTCAGTGCCAGCAGTCCACATGTCGAAGTGACCATGGGCAAGACCGCCGCAGATGGCTGCTTGTGTGTAGCATACTTGGCCAATAAAGGTGATTATCCTTATCCTTGATTCGAGTCCACCTGTGCCACCACTTCACTGGATATAATTACGAAAGGCACACACTTGTCTGTATGAGGTCTTGCAGTTGATGGTGTATATCAGAGTCATGACTTAAAGAGAACTGTCTGTAGATGTGCAAGACAGGATTGTGTCATGACACAGATCTGGGGAAGAATACAGTACAAGACTATTTCTGTGCACTGAAAGTGTCTAAGAGCACAGTAGCCTCATCATTCTTAAATGGAAGACATTTGGAAACACCAACAGTCCTCATAAATCTGGTCACCCAGCCACTTGGAGTAATTGGGGATGAACGGCCTTGGCCAAACTGGTAATCAAGAACCCAAGGGTCACCATGAATAAGATCCAGAATTCCTTTATGGAGATGGGAGGACCTTGCCATCAACACAGCACTCCACCAATGAGGCCTCTATGGTAGAGTAGCCAGATGGAAGCCATTCCTCAATAAAAAGCATATAACAGCCTGTAGGTTGTTTGTCAAAAGCTACCTGAATGACTCAAAACATGAAAAGCAAAATCCTTTGGTCTGATGAAACAAAATGATGATGGAACTATTTGGCCATAATTCCCAATGGCATGTGCAGAGAAAATCAGGCACTGTGCATCACCTCATTAATACAATTCTTACAGTCAAATTGGGATATTTTATTAAAAATATCCCTTTGTCATTGTGAAGTATTGTGTGTAGATTAATGGGGGGAAATCTAGTCGATTTCAAAATGAGTCTAAAACATAACGATGTGGAAAGCTTGAAAGGGTCTGAATAGTGAATCCACTGTATATCCTGTTTTTCATTCAAAAGACCAGACACCTTTTTAATAAAGCGGAACTAACGTGAACGAGACGCAGCGTAAGGACGGAAATATTACAGTGATACACACAGGATGCTCAGTGTATTTGAGATGGCGCCGGGTCATTTGTGTAAGATACACAGTTTCCTCGGGCGGTTTTCTAACGCCACAACGCTAAGACATATACAAAGTAAGCTGTGATATTGTAACGTTACGTTTCACGCGTATGGGAGTGCATATTAATTTGAGACTATCATTTATAGCTTATAAAACGTAATAATGGTGGCAGTAAAAATTAGGTGCTAACCATGAGCAACTGCCAGCAGACGTTGAGTAGGTAACGCTAAAGTCTTATTTAGGTGGCAGTAATTGTTTCCATTGTCGAAACCGTATTTACTGTATTTTTTCGATATGAATATCCAAAATTACATTGTAGAAGAGTATTCCTCATTGAAGTAACATAGGTGAGACAGTAAAAAAGTCACTTTCGGCTTTTCCCGTTTAGGGGTCGTCACGACTCGCATGTTGACATTTGGTACGTGTTTTACGCTGGATGTCCTTCCTGACGCAACCCTGATTCGAACCCGGGGTGAGACAGTAATATCTATTAAGTTATGTCTCACCCGTTTGGTTTTGTGTTGCAGCATGTTTGGTGACATTTCGGCACGAGTCCAGTGTCACTGGTCCTTCACTTGATGGCCCAAACTGGTATGTTAAATGGTTTACAGTCTGAATTCAAAATAAGTGTATCTATATTTAGTCTGTGGCACACTGAGTTACATTTAAACGATATGATGTTAATGTTATGTTAATTAAGAGTTAATGAATAGGTAGTAGTCACTTGGCATCTAGGCATTTTATTTATCATGAAATGCAGATACTATCTATTCCTATCTATGTCATTGTGCTGAACAAACCTGATATAAATATTTTGTGAATACAATATTCACTTCCTATAGTCATCTTGGATATGACATTAGGATTCTCTGTCATTAATAGTCTGTATATATACTGTACATGTATGCTGATGTGGAACTATGGGCCAGGAGGCCTTTTATTCCTGACATAAACAAACTAACGTAAGGTTAAAAAAAAATACTAGCCAACATTTTTAGGTAAAAAAAAAAACAAAACTAGCCAACATTTTTAGGGAACACTTTTTAATTATTACCATATTGTACTGGATGAGAGGTAAACAAACAGAAGTAGAGCAGTTATAGAAGTGTTCTTTCTTTGGGGCAGCCAGTGGTTCTCACTGTTTTATACCTTTCATTTGGTTGTGTTGTGTAGATGAAACTCTGGGAATGCTTTTACAGTTTTGTAAATTATAGATGCAGACTGTGTTATAGGTGTGTACTTGGCCTTTGGGTCTAATATCATGCAGTTTATAGTGTATTTGTAAATAACTACAGAAGAGTTTATTAAATATGAACAGAAAGCTGTTATTCCTCCATTAAAGCTAAATATTATAAAACTGTTTTGTACACACAGGCTTTAGTCAGTGCATTATTCTTAACTGAAGGTTATCAGGTGCTTTCTACAAATGGTTGAATTGGTACTTTTTGTAAAAGTATCACTGATCAGGACAATAATGTTCAAATCTCTTGGATGTAGTAACGTGGAAATTGGCATGACGTCAGATGGGAAAACCATAGTGTGCTACCATCCTGCTGTCGACACTCCCTATGAACTTACACAGGTAAGAGACTGCCTACTACTTTCATAAATTTCAGTGTGTTAGTTGACTGGTAACAGACTCTATATCCAGCGGTCTCAGACTTTCTCTGTGAAAGAGAGAAACAGAGGCACCAGTTAAAACCATGCAGGTTCTCTGCCCTCAGCTTGATGAGAAACGTCTCTCTTTGAAGAAATGCAGAAGTGTCATGAAATTTTAACGCCTTTTAACTCCTGATTTAAAGAGCGCTTAGAAGACTGTAGACACAGATAGAACTGTAAACCTTTGAAATACTGGTTAACACAACTGCATACTGCTGTCACATTTGTACATCACAAATAAATCAACTTCAGTAATCAGCTGAAAACAATTTATTGAAATTGTTGCAGGGCTGCTGGAAATTAATTGTTGAATGAATTTTTAAATATGTAAGAGGAAACCTTGCTCATGTTGGTAAATCTTTGCAGCCTATAGAGCGACCTAACCCTGTAACCAACCCAGTTGAGACCCATGATGAGGTTTTAAAGTCTCACCTCAGCAAGGAGGTGCTGAAGGACAAACAGGGACCCACTATAGAGGAGCTGAGCAAGATGTTTTTCACCACCAAACACCGGTGGTATCCCAAAGGACAGTAAGTACACAAATACTACTCTTGATACATAAGCTGACTTTAAATTGCAAAGATTTATCAGGACCTTGTTCCCATGATTTTATTCTTTAGCATTTACATTCCCATTACAAATTAATTGCTGCTGTCTTATGAGTTGGCCTTTAGCAGAAAGTGCCAGAATTGCTTGGCATGTAGCCTACAAGTTGCCAGATAGAAATGAGAAATTGGCCAGCATTTTTTTTCTCCAATAAAATCTTAAAAAAAGAGAAGAAGTGAGTTAGTCTTTCTCTTTTCTAAGCATTGATTGGTCTATGTTGGTTATTTACCAGTATAGGCCTATCAGGACTAGGTCAGAACAACTTTGATAAGGACAATTTTTGGCTTTTCCAAATGTTTAATTATGCTTATAGAATTGTGAGGCAGCGTGTGACAGCTGAACAAGAATACACTGGTTTCCTTTACCTTTACTTAGAAAAGCATGGTTTCCCTATGTCATTATAGGTTATTGAGTGTACATTGATGGGTAAAAATTGCAATTTTGTCTATTTAAAATATACAACATAAGTGTAGATCTGAATATTTTCTGAAGCAACTGTATGTCAGATCATCAAAAAATCCTATTGTATGCTATTGCTCAAAATTAATTTCCTTCTGTGTCACTGTTCACAGATACCACATGAGACGCAGACAAAAGGATCCTCCAAAGGACAGATAATTGAAGGCCAAAGTTACAAAACTGTAAACATTGTTTTTTCTTTTAATTGTCACAGTGATGGCAATAAACTGTTAAATATTGACTCGATTGTTATGAGTCTGTGATTCAATGATCCTACAATGGAACAGCTCTGTTGCTTTGAAATCATACTTTTATCCTGTTTAGCCTAGTGTGATTTTTCTTTTTCATAGCACTACTGCACTAGATGTTACGGTCTTTTATAATTCTCCTGCAGATAAAGAGATTCAGTAATCTCATGGATTGACACCAGTATACTATAATTCACAGTTATTTTCTAACCAGTCTGGCCCCAACACACTATCATCAGTCTCCTGCTCAAACTGCCAATGGAACATTGCATCATTAGAGTTTACTTAGTTTTAAGATGTGTTTGAATGCTGTTTAATTCTGTTTTGATATATCTTCCATATATAAAAGCAATAGTTTAAAAATTGGCCAAAAATGAATTGTTCCTAGACATTCTTTGTTTCTGCAGCTGAAGTGAAACAGGCATCCAAGAGAGGGCAGACCACTAAAACTAATAAGCATTAGCTGTAAATTAAATGCACCGTACATGTAGATTTATATCTGAGAGATGGAATGCAGAAAAAGTGCTCCCTACTCATTTGATTGGATGAAAATACCAGTGCAGCTGCACTTCTGCACCACAAGATAGGAACAATGACGAGGTGTTACAGTGCCTGCAGGGGAGAAAAACACGTTGAATATTCAAGGTCATGCACATCACAACAAAATGCAGACAGGTTTAAAACTGTGACATTACAAATAAGTTTATTTCTACTCATACCTCATGTAACTCTTCAATATTTTAAAGCACCATGAAAAGGCACATTTTCACACTAGTGCACAAACTTTCACTACAAAACAAATACTTGTTTGATTTTTGAAACTGTCCTCATCAATTTTGTATTCATCAGAAAAGTGTTAATGTGTGTAAATGAAAGGTACAATAAAATAGAAGAGGATATTAAACAAAAGTACAGGACAGGAGAAAATGCAGACTACATTGGGTTAATTGTATACACACTGTCCTGGGGCTTTATTTTTTCTGTGAAGAAAAACGTTCCACAGGTTGCAAATAACATTTGTAATAAAAAAAAAAAATCGGGGCATTTATAATTTAGCATGACATATTCATCAGGAAGCTTTTAATGGTGTTTATAATGTTGGAACAGCTGGCCCAAACGTCGAATTAAAATGTCTATTTGTATTTATATCTTTATTTCAATTAGTGTTTTAACACCAGCACATTTCCTCACGTCATCTGAAGCCACAGGAAGAGTGAGTTATCTGTCCCCGCCCCGCAGCCCAGTCAATCCAACCTGAAGAGAAGGCGAGTCCACGGCTAAAAATATAATAGCAAACACAAGATGGCTGGTTTGCCTCGTAGGATTATAAAGGTACACTTTTCACAAGACACATATGTATAGAAATGAGTCCGTGTTTGGGTATTGTGAACATTATTTATAGCGAATGTGGACGTAGAGTACTGCCTTCCAGCGCGTAGCCTGTCGTTAGCTCGGCTAGCAGAATTAGCTCTCGTCTAGCTAGTTATCGAGCTAGCTCCTTGGTTCGTGTCTGCAAGTGTTTTGTTTGCCACTTCCGTCTGCTCCCTTCTGTCTGTGGCAAAAGTTTTGAACAGCTAGGTTTGTTACAGATTTTAAATAACAGCTATAATAGCGCTGGCATGCTACTTCCTACTATGAATCAACACATTATGAGAATTTGTTGTAGTCGCCATATGAATGGGTTCGCTAGGTAAGCTAGGCTAACAGCGGTAGTTTGGGTGATTTGGTTATGCGTCTGGCGCTGATGTGAAACGCTGCCCTTGCGGTGTCGAAACATGTGAATGCTCGTAAAACGCTAACGTGTTGGTATTGCTTCGTTTGTGTAAATCGAAACAAAACATTTAGCAGAATTGAGATTGTTAAGGCCTTGCACTGCGGTCTCCTCCCTCAACTTCACTGGGCCAGGCCCTGACAGTGGGCGCGATCAGCCTTTTCCGCCACATCTAGCAACTATTTCTTAGGTTTAGCCGGTTTTCACAGTCAGTAACGCAACGCTGGCAAAGTTAATACACGACGTAGCTTCCGCTGTGGAAGCCTGTACTTTGTTTTCTAGCCAGAATAAAGAAGCATTGGTATTTAAAACAAGATTAAACCAGTTTCCTTCCAGTTGACTGCAGATGTTTCTATGCACCTGCTCAGTCAAATGCAGAAATAAGACAAAATCTTCCACTTCCTCCTCCTGATTGCGAGTCTAGGTTGTCCCCGAGTGTCGCACTTTACTTTATTTGCAGTAAAACCTTTAGTTAACCAAGTCTGCCTTTGATTATGAAAATGTGATCAGCTGTATCCAGTAATTTAAAAAATCTTGTCAAAACAGTACAATGATTATTATAATTGGCAGCTATTTTGATAATTAAACATTTTGGTCATTTCAAGGTATAAATTTAGTGGTTCTAGCCTCTGTGTGGAAAATTTAAATGTATTTGCAGTGAAAATGTGAATACCCATGTATATTTTAAACAATTATTTTACATTTTTACGATAGGTCGGACGAAAGAATCTCTTTTTACCTTTACAGACCAAACACTTAGTTGCTTAATCTAAAAATAGTCAGCAGGTTAATCTGTAATGAAAGTAATCATTAGTGATGGCCCTGAATTATTTGTATTCATGTAAGAAATTAGTAGTTTACAGTGGTGGGAAGTTCTGTGTCATTGTCTTAAGTCAGAAGTGCTGCAGCCCTCAGCCTCCTTTTAGTTTCCGTCTTAAACAGTAGCTTGTGGAATGAGGGTGGGTTAAAAAGTAAGTGCAGTATTTCTACTTTTCCAAACAAACAGGTGCAACAGGTAATAGAAACCGAAGAATGTTTGTTACTACTGAGCACACAGTTCTTTTTGAAGTCTGTGTAGTTTGTATTTGCTGTCTTTTACCAGGGGTTGGTTACACTCTGCATAAACATCTACATGTACATGTACAGTGTAACCAAAGGTACATACACATTTGACAAGTAGCCAGTAATTCCCTCACTGTGTACTATTTGTTGGAAATTTGGGCATTTACCCTCCCTCCAAGGTGTTCCTACTGTTTGCACCCCACGTGCTTCCAATGCATGAGTGAACACGCGCTCGGTTCAGACACAAGCATGACCCTCGCTTGAGGTGCACGCACAATGCTACACTTTTGGTCTGTGCCCCTGTATTCGTGACGTGGACTGTCTTGCCTTTAAATCCGGTCAGCACAGGCCAGTTGCCAGTTCAGGCCAATCACGTTGAAAACTTGCCATTTCCGACCTCCACCGGTCGATTAGTGCATCTCTATTTGTTGTCATCCATTATATATTTGAAAGTCTGTTGACACCTGCACAGTCTTTGCTGCAGCAATGATTTGTTTAATCCGTAAATGCAACAACAGTGTTGTGTGTTTCCCATTCTTACCACACTCAGGAGACGCAGCGGTTGATGGCGGAGCCTGTTCCAGGGATCACGGCTACGCCTGATGAAGGGAATGCACGTTACTTCCATGTGATCATTGCAGGGCCTCAAGACTCTCCTTTTGAAGGAGGCACATTTAAACTTGAACTATTTCTTCCCGAAGAGTATCCCATGGCAGCTCCTAAAGTGCGATTCATGACGAAAATCTACCACCCCAATGTCGACAAACTGGGAAGAATATGTTTAGACATTTTGAAAGGTAAGTAAGCAGGAGAGAAACAATTCATTTGAAAGAATCAGTGTATACACACATTTTTGACATCAATGTAAAGTCATCTTGCAGGGCTGTAATGCAGCCTTTTATTTTTGCATGATTTTGTTTCCAACCTGGGAATGAGTGAAAATAAATTAAGGTCTTCGACAGTAGGAAGGGGGATTTGTTAATGTTAAAAATTTTACTTCCTAGCATCATGAATAGCTCTGTGTAATTGGGAAGTCGGACCATTCTGTGAAAACATGGCAGTTTAAATTGGAGGCAATGAATATCACATTAGTACTGATTATTAATCGTATTTTAATAGTAAAACATTGATCATTCTTATCTATGAACTCAAACAGGGACAGGTTTACACAACCCTAACACCCAAGTGCCTAATTACTACTGCCACACACACACACACAAGAAGTGTGAGGCATAGATTTGTAATAACAACCAGAATGTGGTAACAGATCAGACATTGCCATTTTTATGATAGGAGATGGCTGAAAAGCAGCCAGTTATGTGTACAGAAAGTGCTCTTATAAGACAAAGCCTCAAAAAGCAGATGGGTGGTTTCACTAATCTTAGAGCTTATTTTCATAATGTACTGTTTTGATTCATTAGTTTTACAAGAGCCAGAGTCTTTTTCCATTATCGAGCAGCATCGGGGAAAAAGTGGATCTCACAACGTTATGTCCCTCATTGGCATTCAGTGGCTGCTTGGCCATCTTTATTCACTGATGCTGCATCACCCTGAAGTTCCCTGCACTTTTTGAGTTTGACCTATAAAGTGTCATTTTTGTCTCTTCTCCACATTTTTTCAAATCTTCTTTCAGATAAGTGGTCTCCAGCCCTGCAGATCCGTACAGTGTTGCTATCTATCCAGGCATTATTAAGTGCTCCCAATCCAGATGACCCCCTGGCAAATGATGTCGCAGAGCAGTGGAAGAAAAATGAAAGCCATGCCATTGAGACAGGTGAGGAGCAGATTCATTTATTTGTCGAACACTCATTAAAGCTCTCTGGATCAGTTGTATAAGAATTTTATTGCGACTGCTGCGGGCGGTAACAGATTTCCAGAATGAGTGTGTTGCCAGATGGCTCAGTTCCACACTTTTGAGTTGCCACCCAAATTTCAAATCGTCCCAAGTTTAGGATCCTTTGCTGTCTAGTTGTTTGCCCCATAATCACCTTGATGGAAGGTCAAATCCAACCAGCTGAGAGGGTTGCTATGATGGTTGTGCAGCATAGCGTGTACAAGAACAATGAAATAGTTTACCGTAATTTCCGGACTATTGAGCGCACCAGAATATAAGATATAAGCCGCATCCACTAAATTTAAAAAGAAAAAAATGTTGTACATATATAGGCCGCACTTGTCTATAAGCCGCAGGTGTACACACAAAGATTTTTTTTTTTACTTTTAATTAAATAAATGCTTTTTCCGAACAGTGCCTGTGACACAGCTGGTTAAAAAAATTAAAAATACAGTAGCCTACCAGAAAAGTCATTGATCACTATCTTCATCTTCCTCCTGCGCACTAAAACCACTAAAGTCGATTCATTGATGCCAAGTTAACATGCAGCAGCTCTATTTCCTTCTTCGACAACCAGATCAATTGACTTTAACGTGAAAGCTGCATCATATGCATTTATTTGTGTGTTTTCCATGATGAGGGTGTGTGCATGAAGCACAAATTACTGATCTGAAGAATTTAGTGTGAGTGCCTTTTGATTTAATTCGAAAAGTTTCATTGGTCCACTGTGACCTGTTCGGTAATTTCATTGGTCTGATGTGACGAGGCTAAATGTATTGGCGGCATAAAGCTCGTTGGCCCGTAAAAATCCATAAATTAGCCGCATCATTGTTTTAGCCGCAGGGTTCAAAGCGTGTGAAAAAAGTAGCAGCTTATAGTCCGGATTTTACGGCAACCCCATTCTAACTACTTATACAGACAACTGTTAATAGATATTGTACATGTGAAGCTAACCTGTGGTGTCACTGTCCTGTTCTACTGTACATCTGATTAAAGACGATCTGAGACCTACTTAAAAAGCTTGACAAGTTTGTTGAACTAGTGAAGCAAAATACTCTAGAAATGTTCTTTCCTTGTAATTTTAGTTATGAGCAAAGCAGATGAAAAACAGCAGTGTTGATGTGCATTTAAAAGTTAGTTTTGGTTTAGGGCTGCAACTAATGTTTGTTACCAAGTGATGAATCAAGAAAAACATGTCTGCTTAATCACAATTGAAAATAATCTAAACAAAAAGTTTGATTAATTAATCATCAAAATTGTTGGTGAATAGATGGGCGGCTTTTATATTTGGAAATACAGGAATGTTTCGGTTACTTTAGGATGCCTGTTGTTTTTGCAGCTTGTGTGGTCAAGCACATGTTCACACACTCCTCCGCACTGTGTTCTTCACAGCCATATCCCCCTCACACCCTCCACAACCATGTTATTTTTCTGTCTCCCCTCCAGCCCGAACATGGACCAGGCTCTACGCGGGCAAAATTGATGTATAGAAGAAGAGGGACAAGGCGTCTGAATGTGATCCACAAAATGTAATCCTATTCTGTCAACATTTGAATTTAACAGACAAAAAAAATTGAAAAAAAAAAAACAAGATTATAAATCCAAATCTATTTGAAAGAAATGACAAGATTTACTGCTGCAGACCTCTGAGTGACCTATTCTCCTCTCTAAGACGTGTTAAATGTGTAATAGCCGTTTTTTTCCGTGTTGCTATTTAAATGCATGGACAGAAAATGACACCCTCCCCACCACAGTCTTAAAAATGACATGCAATATGTTGTCCTGAACATAGGCACATGCTGGTACATTTGCAAAGTATACATCCATTAAAGCTGTCCTCCTTTTAACACATGCATCATTTGTCAAAACATCTGTATGTCTTTTTGTGATGGTTCTGTTACTTTCAGCATGAGCGTGTACAGCCCCAGCAGTAAGCAGACAAAAACATCTGAATATGAATGAAGTTTCTCTTTACTCTTTTTAGAGAATATGATGCATTTTGGGGAACTAAGCCCATGCATTCAACAAAAAAATATGGATTTTCACACCTGTGTGTCTGCATACACTTCACAGTACTGAATGTCCAGTTGGTTGGGCAGCTACAGTAGCTGATTATCATCTTGTGCACATGGGGTGGTAGTAATATTTAACACAGGTTAAACTTGCTGCAGTGTTTTCATCCCATAGCAAAGATGATCTTTTTTTGTAGAATTAGACCTAAAAGTGTGTCAGTTTGAAGGGCTCCACACAGGAATTACATCCTACAATCCCACACAAATTCTAACTTCAGGGGAGCTCACCTACGATGTTTTTTAGGTGGACACTGGATGAACTGCAAAAAAAGGTTTCAAAGGGAAGGAATTAAACATTTGATCCATAGACTGCAAAGGGAGGTTTATTCCAGCAGTTCTACTGTAAAATCCATATGAAGACTCCTTGAAATTGGTTGTGCCAGTAAAGAAAACGACTTTATAGCCTCAGCTAACATTTAAAAGCATTTAGCCCATGGCACAATTTTTAAATTTGAGCACTTTGCATTATTTACATATGAACATTGGTCTTAAAAGTTCCCCAGAAATTCTGGATGTAATGCTCGTTTCATCAATTGTAAAAAAAAATTCTCATAATTATTTGATTAGAAGTTATGTTTTTGTCTAGGTTGGGGAGGGTGAGTGAATCAATTCCACATGCTTACAAACATTTTAAGAAATGTAGCAGACAGCACAGGTGTTAAACTTTAAGAGTGTAGGAAGCTGAGCAGTTTTTAGTTTGACTTTACTTTTTAAGCGCCTGTATATGTTAGTTATGTTGCCTATTTTATTTTCAGTATTACTCCATTTAAAAAAAAAAAAAAAACATGTACCATAACAAAGTGCTGTTAGGATGGTACAAACAAATTTTCTTCAGGTATGATTGTGAGAGCTGAGGCGTTGTTTTCTTTAAAGGGGTAGCTGAGGCTTTTTTGTTTGTTTGTTTGTTTGTTTTTTGTTTTTTTTTTTGAAGGGTTCATCAGTTACAAAGTTGTCTTTCACTGTGGTTTACCTGAGCTGGTGTTAAGCTTCTTGGCCCTTTTTATAATACTGATTTGTGTTGTTTATGGAAGTGAGTATCAGTGGTTCCAGAGGGCTGGGTTGTTGTGGTAGCAGAAAAGGGTAGTAATACAAATAAAATGCATCCTATCATGCTCTTAGAGATCTTTTATCAGCTAGAAGTCAAAAGTTTCTCAAAGCTGCACACACGAAATCTTGTCAAATTCTAAAGTGGGGTTTGTTGACATGTGGGAAAGGCTTCTAAAAATCTTTTAACTTTCCCTTTAAAAGATGCTGTATCAATGGGTTAGAAGGATCAGTGCCAGATGTTTTAACTTCTCGCGGCCCAGTAGCTTAGACCTCCGTGATCAAATTGCTTATGTACGGCTCATCTCATAGAACTGTAATGTTATGCTGTAGTAAAACTATTTTTCTTGAGCATTCTTTTTTCAGTGAGCTCATTTCTTGCTCTTTACTGGATTATCACTGGCTTGGTGTTGCTTAGGATTTTTTGTGTCCCGTCCTCCTCACCCTGAATTATTAACCATTTCTAGTCACTGCATTTACTCACGTCTGCAAGATGGAGCACAGCTTAAAACTGGGTTAATTTATTGTTTCCCTGAGGGACTTGACAGTAATTTAAGGCAAGTGACAGTCGCTCACTGGATTTTTGAAACATCTAGATCAAAATATTAAGAGATCAAACCAATTAATCAGCTCCCTGTGTGTAAAGAAGAAGAGTTCTGTTGGGAATTTCAGTACATTTGCATACATGGCTCTTCAAATACTCTGTAAATAAACTGAGTTGAGTACGTATATAGAGGCTTGTTTGGTTTATGTTGTGTGGAATTTGTGGTCCCCCAAAGGTGAAAGGTTACTGCTAAGAATTTATTTAATCTCATGGGATGCTGCCATAAACTAAGGTTTCGTGGGTATACAAATACATGAAGCTGCCTGCAGGTATTCATTCCAACTAAACCTACATTAACTTTTTTATTTGTGTACTTTAAATTGGAAAAATAACTGGACTATGTTAAATCTGCTTATTCTTTGAATGAAAACCTACAGGCTATTGATTAACAGCCGCTGACATAAGTATCAGTCTTGTAATAAATGGTTTTCAGAGAGCAAATATTTTTATACATTATAGTATGTGAGTCAAATACCTAATAAGAAATTCAAAGCCTAAATGTTTAAAGAAATTACTGAATGCCTATTGTGTTTTAAAAAAAACAACCAACATATTACTTTGAAATATATTCAGGAGGAAATTTCAGCTGTGACAAGTGAAATTCATAATTTTAAGTTCCAGATTTTAAGCCTAACGGTCAAGTTGACCATTTCTGACTCACTAAAAAACAGTCTTGAAAAAATAAAACCTGAACATTCAGGTGACCAAAGACGAGCAGTAGAACCCCAGTGAGATTGACCACACCTCCAGGTTGCACTGCATTGGTCCATACAGTGTCAGATTGGTAGGTTCAAACTTAAATGCTTCAGTGCTGTCCATTCAAATATCAGCATCAGGTATTTAGTAACAAAAAACAGCAGCTTTGTGGGACTTGTTCAACTAGTGGAATACAGTCATTCCCGCATTCAGTAACACCTGCACTGTCAAAATGTCTGCTGTTAAAAAGGTCTACTTCAAGCCCCCGTGCCCTCTTCTCCTGCAGTTTCATTTAATGTCACATGATGGTGCTACAGTTACATTTAGCTGCACCAAACAACTTCATACATTTGGATTGCTGTAACTGAGGTGCCTTTATGAATAATTTCATTTTTTATATAGCTTGTTGCTTAAATTATCTAAACCAGCACCAGTATCCCATTCAAAAATGGGTGTTTTTAATAGTTGAGGTGTGTAGAAACGTCAGCAAATACAACCTTTAATCTCGTTCTTCTGCACGTACTCAGCACTTAGAATAGCTGTGGGTCGTCTTCACTACAGTCTACGTTCCTGCAGGGGGCACCTGTCTGCTATTTGTCACGTTGTCTCACCAGAAACAAAGGTTTCACAGTGTATGATCTTGGCTTGGTTTACATGGCAGCAGAGTGTCATTCACCCTGGTATGCAGCCATTCTTCACTATCTGACATCTCTTACAAAACATTAACTAATCTCAGAGGCTGCCTCAGAGAATAGAATGACCATAGAAAAATTGAAAGGAGCAGAGAAGAGACACTAAAGTAATATTTTCAAAGATTTCCTTGAAACATCACAAAACTAACTGGGACGTAGGCCAGAGCTTTCTAATTCTGCACAAAGGCGATTAGACACACTGAGGCCCCAAAAAGCTTCCAGAATTTTATATTTTAAATATTTGTGTTTTCCCTGAATGTGTTCAGTTAACTAAACATCTTATAATTTCCAGCATAAACAGTTTTAAAACTTAATCGCAACCTTAATCTTTGATTGAGACAAAATGTTTACATTTGCTCTTTCTACATTCCTATAATTTGTTGGTTTTATTCAAAACCTGTTTTAGGTCTAATGTTCTTTAATAATCAGCTAATAAATGCTAATGCTAGCATGGCCATAGACTCAAATGTCCTTTTTGTACATACAGTGTATGACTTGCTTTTTGCTTGAGAATTTAAAATATTTGTAATAATACTTGTAACATCTGTCTTCTCCTTTTTTGTGGCAACCAAAAAGAAAACTGTCCTCAATTTCCACTTTACTCTTAAAGTTAGAGTAGCCTGTTAAGTGCTGGGAATGACTAGCTGTATACAGCAGTCATGTTATCTAAAACACTTGCATGTGACATATTGGCTACAAACAGCATGACAACAGCCGCACTGCTGAATATAATTGTGAGGGTAAGTTGATACAGATGACTTTTCTGGCTTGAATGCAGTGTAATTTATCATTTAAGCATATGACAATACAGAGCTACAACTATCTACAGATGACATGGAGCTGCATGCTAAACATAGCACTGCTCTCCCAACAAGGCAGATCATCTCTCGCTGTGACTGCTGACGGCGTTTTCATCACAAGCTGTTGATGCTGAACGCACAGGTTACAACAAATGGCCTCTTATGACTGGCATCGGCACTTGCTCGAAATCTGTCACCTGTGTTGGTTAGTGGTGCTGGGATATGGTACCTTTCTCTGGATGGAAAGCATGTTGAAACACTCTGCATATTATGAGAATTGGCTATGTGTTTGGATTCATTTGGTTCTGAATGTTTGTTTCTGTTCTGTTCTCTCTTTACATTTCCACTTCTGTTGCTCCCCTACTTCTTTCATTCTCTGTATGTAGGAAGTTATGAAGGGAACTTCATAACTTCCTACATTTCTTTCTTGCCTCCTTTCCCTCAGTCTTTTGACCTCCTCTTCATCTACCCTTTTTCCTATTTTCATATTTCTTTCTTCTCTCAGTTTCAAACTTATCTCCAAACTGTCATCTCTGTCTTCTTCCACATTCTCCCCTTTCCTTTTCTCATCTTTGCCTGTTCTTCATCTCCCACTCCTGCTTCTCTTCTTTTAAATCTTCCTCTCTCCTTTCCCCTTTTCTCCTCTCCTCTTCTCTCTTCCCTCCTGCCCTCCTTTCTCTCCCACTGCAGATGAAGTTAAAAGGGGGACTGCAGTCAGAACCCTTTCACCTGTTCCTCCCAGCATTATGTAACCATCCTTATTACTCTCTCTAGCAAAAAAGTCAGGAACCCTAAAAGAAATTCCCCCTTTTGACCACAGCACGTCTGCACTGACTTGAGTCTCATTATTTCAGGTAAAGGACACTTACTCTGTCACAGATGTTAAGATAGCTGCAGTGGACACTAACACGGGAAGTGCTTAGTTTGTTGTAAATGCAAAAATGAAGAAAAATGCACGTTTCTTAGTGAAATTTATTTTTTAACTTTAGAAATAGTAGTTGAGGAAACAGTCTCATCACAAGGTCTTTTTGTATTTTGGTGCATTTGATCACATGATCTTCATGGGCAGGTAGAGTAGGAATCACAAGTGTCCACATTTCTACTTTTTGAAAACGAGAAATAAGTGGGGAGAAATGGGAATTTGAGCAACTATAAAAAAAAACGAAGAACTATAAATAGACCTTGTAGTGAGATTGTTTTCACATGTTGAGCTTGAGGTTTTAGGCACATGAGATGCAGTTTGAGTCCACTCAAAATTCAAGATTAATTTCAAAACAGGTTCGTTACAGTGGGGCAAATGATATTACCCTTAAAGACAGGAATGCATAGAGACTGAGAAAACAATGTCATTAGTATGAATTAGTATTATGAACAAATGTGTCCACAGAATCCCCCTTAGTAATGGCAGAGATTCTTCTTTTGCTCTTTTGTGAGAACAGGCTGTTCTGGGCCACTCTTCTATTTCCCTGGTCTCTCTACATCCACTGTGGAGAAAGATGAAAGGACATGTTTGTGTGTGTGTGTGCACGTAATATTCTTATCCTAGTTAGGAGCAGCAGTTTTTTATATGCATATCATAAATGACAGCATGTTCTGTAAAAGTGATTGTACCTTAACTCAAAGTAATAACACAGTAATCCGTCTCCTTCATTCCAGCACAGACACTCAGACATCAGCCTGGGCTAGTTTAGGAGCCTATCTATGTTTCTCAGCTCACCTCCCTCCAGTGATCTTGTGTGGTTTGAATAGGAGTCTACAAGTCGGGCATGAGGGTATTTTGAAGGTTTTCTAACGTGGTTCTGTTCCCTCACAGATCTCAACTGAAGGTATGTGTTGAACAAACAGATCCCTGTGGTTGGCGTTGAGGTTCATGTGCAAATAAAAAAGCCTGATATCCTACTATTTTTCGGTTTTGTTCAGTGATCAAATACTAGAAAAAAAATGATGT